GCATGCACTTGGCAAAAACCAGCACAGCAGAACGCCAGGTCTGATGGTATTACCAAATACATGGTTTAAATCATGATGAAAGTGACTAAATTATTATCTAAAGTCATTCTGGGTTACAGTCCAACATCACCCCCCCCACTCCCCCCACCCCCACCCACCTGCCCTGACTCCCCCCCACGACACCACTCCCCCACATGACATCACAGCACTCTCCCTAAATTCCTAACTTCATTTAATCAAAAGGAATTATTTGTCAAAGGGATTAACGGGAGACCTTGTTCTCTCTCTCTCTCTCTCTGTGTCTCTGTGTCTCTCTCTCCCTCACACAGCGTCCTTCAATCTCCATATTCTCCTGTCAGTGTTAGTGGATCCGTCACGTGTAGCGACCACATCGTGTGGGTGGATGACATCGTCGTTTACATGAGTGTAACATCCAACCAGAGCTCCGTTGTCAATGAATTGTACAGAACACACACACACACACACACACACACATGCAGGATCTACCTTCTTCTAGCCAGCCTTCGCATGTGGGCAGCACGTCGATGGAAAGTGGGCTTAAAAGTGGGACACGATCACCCACGAGCATCAAGATTTGTCCGTTGTTTATCCAGACATCCTGGAGAAGACTCAAAGACACGAAGGACTAAAACAACTGCTACTTTTACACTGAAATTACACTGCCCTCACTGGTCAAACATTACATAGAGCCGGGGTCTCCAACATGGTGTCCTGGTAGCCCCCGTGGACTAGCTAAGGAGCCCATCGAGTACTGTATGTTCTCAAAATAAAACTACCGTATTTTCCGGACTATAAGTCGCACTATTTTTCATCCTTTGGCTAGGTTTACGACTTATACTCGGACGCGACTTATATTGTATTAAAATATATAATTTCACGTTTGGTATTTTCACACTGACAGCCACTAGAGGGCACTCTAGGCTTGTATACAAGTATCTGCTACTCATGTACCACTCAAAAATGTACATGTTTGGTATTTTCACACTGACAGCCGCTAGGGGGCACTCCGGAGCGACTTATCGTCCGAAAATACAGTGGTCAACAAGAGGGTCAAAAACGAAACTTGCAATGATATTCAACTGAGTCCAGTGACGATGATACGTCCCTGAACAGAATCATTATTACATCGTTCAGGAAGTCTGTTTCAACCTCGTAGCTCTTCGTGTTACCAAGTGTCCTTGAAGTAGCTCTCAGTTTCAAAAAGGTTGGTGACCGCTGACACAGAGTGACCTGTCAAGGGCCCCAGTGGTGTGGGCTCTCCAGGTGGTTGACAAATACTGCACAGAACAACGTCTAGAGTGCTGAGTGCAGACTGACATGTGTAGTCAGCCGTTTTTACTTCTGTGATGTCACGTGTTCATCCCGGGGGGGGGGTGCAGACCGGTTTAAAGCATCACCCATCACGTCAACAACTATGCCAAAAATTCAGATCTCAGCATCAAAACTATGGACTAAAGAATAGCACATTTACACATTCAGTGTGAAGATAAAATCACAAAGTTTCTTTGTCCAAGTCATGGAGTCGATACCAGTCTATCAGTCTCTGTGTTTGACAGTGAATGAGCAACAGCCAACCAGTGATTGATCCGTCGAGCGAGCGCCTGAACCTCAAAGCAAAAAAAAAAAAAAAAAAAAAAAAAGCATCACGTTCCCGATCACTGAGCTGCAGGGAGTTTAATAGATATTTTTCCAACGTGGCACAAAGTGTGATGTAATGAAAAAAAGCGTCCCAGCACTAATCTAATACGTGGTAAGATGGATGGGTAGTTGGTAAGAGTAATAGGTGGTGTGGGGGCACTCGCCGGGTCGGCTCCCATAAATAGTCAATGCACTTTTGCACGATTGCAAATGGCTTCAGATGAAACCGGGGCTAAATGACTGTTGTGCCGTTATATTAGGAAAACCACAAACAGGGAGACGGATATCAACAAACATGAAAGCGTTTCTGATCGATTGTTTCAGCCTCACAACAGGTCAAGTCTGTGCGTGTGCGTGGGTATTCACATGTATGTGTCTTCACTTAGTGTCCATTCAATTACAGGACGGTTATTGGATGGACGTGTGTGTGTGTGTGTGTGTGCGTGTGCTCAACCTTTGGTGTGTATCTGTTTGATGCAAAGCCATACTGAGTGTTTCATCAATCCCGCAAAGGCACTCATTAATGTCATTAATTGGCGGCGGCTGACACACACACCTGGGTCCCCTGCTCTATTTCTGGAGCCTGAGGGACAGTGACATAATGTGCACAGCTATTTGGAAAGTTTGGGATGAAATGACGGATTAAAAAGCTTCATACCTCTGGAATACTGGGTGTCATCGTTAGCAGCCGATTATCTCAGCTCAGTATAGTGACGTGGACGAATGCTGTTTTCACACGCTAGAGCTAGCTCAGAAAGATACAGACTTTTGTTCAATAATTATGATACTTTGTATTTGTCAGTATCGACCCTCTAGCACCATCTAGTGTACTGATATAAATGTAAAGTGAACACAAAAATGTCTCCAACGAGGATAACTTAGTTCAGGAAGGTCGCTGATTGTCCACGTAGCATGTTAGTGGTGTTAGCTACACGCTAGTGTTTAGCTTTTTTTAAGTAAGTCGCATGCTGAAAGTAAGTAGTGTGCTTGCACAAGGAGTGTTAACACCATGCTAGCACGTAGCATTTTTTTT